ATCAGAAGATGCCACTGCTCCTTCTTCTTCACTTCCCTTGGTGCTGTTGCCTTCATCCACATCTTCTTCTCCAGCTGGACGATTATGTTGGTGTAGAAACTCACGTGCCTTTTTTTTTTTTTCCTTTTTATCTTTAAATTTAAAGATTATGCGTTCAGGCATGATCCATCTGTAGGGGATGTTGTTTTTCTGTAGAAATAAAGTCGTCTCTACATTTCTTTCTTTTCTTTCTTATTTCAAACGGAATGTCAATCAAAATCTTTATTTCTTTGTCCTTGATTTTCAAGTTAACTCCACTTGTAGCGTTGAGTATTTGATCTCGCACTTGTCTTCTGGAGAATCTCACCATCACTTCCCTGGGTAGATTATTCTTTCTTGTAAATTCAGAGTACGACCTAAAGATCGTATCTATTTCGCCTTGTAGAGTATCCACTTTAAAATCTGCCACAGGGCCCAAAGAGTCACACATAATCTGTTTTAAATTTTCTCCCTTCTCTTCAGGAATCCCCTGAAATCTAAGGGTGTAGCTTGCCCTTTCCATTTGCAGCTGTAACAAATGAGACTCATTAACTGATTTTCCCCCCCATCACCTGCATTTGTTTTTTAAGCTTCTTGATGTTGGCATCCACCTCTTTAAGCTCTTGCTGCATTTGCTCTGTTTTTTTAACCGTCTCACTCAGCTGGATTTGTTGAGTGTCAAATTTTTGGTGCAATGATGTGACTTGTTCCAGCAGAGGTTGCAACACCTCATTCAGCATCCTTTGGAGATCTGTAACTGTGTCCTGTCTAGGGACAGAGCTCGCTGGGCTGGCACTTCCGGCAAGAGGCTTCAGTTTCGGTAGCTTATCTTTCTCCTCCCTTCTTGGAGGCGCCATGTTGGAGAATGTTTACTTTTTGGGGAAATTACCAAAGTCTCCGAAATCCATCAGCCTTGTTTAAATAGCCCACTCCCCACTTTCTCTGCTGCAAAATGTTAGCTTTCTTGTCGAGGGGGAGTTCCCCCCCCCCGCTTCTAAGGAGGAGAGCTTTCAGCTAGTTTTTTGGTGCTTTCGCTTAGACTTGACTCACATTTCAATGATAGAATCGCTTTTTAATCACAGTTCGCTCGGCCACCAAACGCTTGATCTGGTGTGAGTCTCTTGTTCCACTCAGGGAAGCTCCATGGTGGGACCTTCGGGGCATGGAGCAGCCCCCCTTCGCCAGCCAGTTGCCGGAGGAAGGGCTCTCCTAGCACCCATGGCTGGGAGCCCTTCGCAAGGGCTCTGGGGTAGGTGCAGACATTTGCACCCCCTCCCAGCCACAGACTCTGGCACACGTCTCCTGGAGCTCTGGGAGATCGCGGCTGCCATGGCGAGCGCCAAAACTGGAAGTCCAGTCCAAGTTGTATTGACACTATATATCGGGGTCCCCAACCTATTTGAGCCTGTGGGCGCCTTTGGGATTCTGACACAGTATGGTAGGCCCAGCCACCAAATGGCAGGTGCAAGAACCAGCCATTCCTAGCCACCACTCACACAGCAAAGATCCTTATGTTGTGTTAGCAGCCACTGCCAAAGAAACATTTTTTAAAATCTGCCTGGCCAATTACATCTCCAATGGCCAGTCAGGAGCCTTGATGGGCAAAAGTCCTACCTGACCCAACTGGCTTTCTAAAAAAACTTAGTGGGCACCAGGAAAGGTGTCAGTGGTCACCATGGTCTGAAATCCTGCCACCATTTTAGAGAATTTCTTATCTTACCTTGTGGATGCTGGACTAATTAGTTTTCAGAATTCTAGATGATCAATCAGTCGGATTTATTCGGTCAGTGACCAGCACAAATAGCAAAATTATAAGTTACAGACAAAAGAAGAAAACTCAAAGAGAGTCAACTGTAATAACAAATATACAGATACAAAATCAAATTACGTAGCTAAAATTTAAATTCAGTATGCAAGATTTCCTGGTGAATTCTACAGGCTACCACAAAAAATTTTTGCGCAACAGACTATAGTTTGAGGGTTGTCACCCATAAGAAACATCCTTAAAATATCATAGTCGGCCAAGAAATCTTCTAAGCAATAGAAAAATAATTTTAGGCAAATTTCCTGATAAAAACAGCAATAAAGCAGAACATGTCCAATTGTTTCCAACTCACCTGCACCACGAGTCAAATTCTCTCCTGCATGGGGATCTTTTTATATCTCCTCTCTAACACTGCAGAGGGGAGAACTAGCCATCTTGCCAGGGAGAATGCCTTCTGTTGTCCTGGGATCAAGATGTGAATTTTAAAACTGTCTTCATCAGGCTTTGGTGCTGCAAATGTTAAAGGCCTAGGCTGTCCCCAAAATTCTGCTGTTTGGAACAAAGGACCAGGACTGTTTGAGTAGGGACAGAGCAACAGCCCTACAAAATAGCCTTGGAAGACATCAATACTTCAAAAGACAACATGGGGAAAAGTGGGAAAGAAAAACAGAACCAAGCTATACAGCAACTTTCTCTGTCTCAACGTTATTTGAGCCCCGCAGGGCACTTGCAAGTCAGGGAACAGATGATAGGTGAACTTTATCTTTGTAATCACTAAATTCAGGGAAACAACTAGGTAATGTCAATTAGAGATTAAATTCAGTGTTATGAAATGAATGATGGCAGAGCCTGTAGTTGCAGAGTCTCTTGAGCACAACAGTTAATGCAAGCCTCAGCCTTCTCAGCCTCCGCCCACCGGAGCGTCCGTCCTGCTTGTTACCTCACATGACACTGAGGCCGAGACGCTTGCTGCTACTTCTGTGGGCGGGACTCCAGCAATGCAGCCACTGGATTGGCACATTGTCGGAGTGACAGGTGTGGGAGTCAAATGCTGTGGGAGCGTGAGTAATGTTCAGGAAAGAGTCATCCTAAAATACAATTATATATAAGGAGATATTATTAGGACCAACCAAAATACTACACAACAATGTGTGTTTCAGTTCTTCAGAATTATCCCCCCCCGGTGATCCCAAGGCGGGCAGGCCGGGCGGGGGGGCCTGGAAGGATCAGGGAGGCATTTAAATGCTTTCCTCGGCCTGTCCAAGGGCTGGCTTATCTGAGCTCCCCGGAGCTGCGAGGCGCCCAGGCAAGCCAAGGGAAGGCAGTTTAAACTGCCTTCCCTCCCCTCCAAGGGCTGGCTTGCATGGGCTCCCCGGTCAGGGCATAGGCCTCACAATCAAAATGATTATTTGTGAAAGCAGAAATTCATTTGAAGTTTCTACCAGCTGCTAAAAAAGCCAGCGACTTCTCAGTTTAAATCTTAGAACCCATTAAAATGGAGCTTGCCACACCATCTGGGGAACTGCTTTGGAAACTACAAAGGAAAAAAAGGAACTCAGGTTTGTACGCTGCTCTCTGCAGTGCATGCATGTTGCTCTCTTGGATTGCAGCCATGGCAGGCAAATAGGGCAGCTTTTAATCATCCATTCACGGTGTCAGCTAGCTGCCATGTTTTGCTTGTTCCCTTCTCTGATCCTGGCTTGCTCGCTGCTCTGCCGCTTGCTGTAAACAATGCTAGGGAGATCGTGAGAGCCAGTACTGCCAGACGGCGTTATCTGTCTGGCCTTGTGAAGGAGGGAGGGCTTGCGTTCCACCTCTGGTGTGAATCTTTCGGCTCTCATGAGGCCCTGTGACTCTCCCGCTTATTACGCATCCGCCCGCCGGAAGAATTCCCCCACACGCGCTCGAATTTCATTTGCTTAGCCATTTGCCTCATCCTGCTATATGTTAGGATGTTTCCGCCTCGTGGTCATTCCTAACAATAATCCTGTGGATATGGTTTCAGTTTTGTAATCTAATAAAGCATAACGCTTCCTTGGAAACGTGTGTGGAGATT